GTTTCTAATCATTCAAATGACTACTATAATCCCTAAAAACACAAGGCATATCCACTCCATGCCATTTTTAAAAAAAAAAATTATAGTCAATAGACTTCCAACCTTCCCTTGTGTCCCTCTATCCTTCCTCTTGACCACAGAACCCTCAGAATGTTTATTAATGTCCAGTTGTTTTTGAAAATGTTTTATGTTGTCAATTGTTATGTGAATGGTGGATACTTATTTTTATAATTCAGACTTGTTTTGTTGCATATAATTTTTTCTAATTCCTTCAGTTTTGTTGACTGTGACTGTATTTCAACCTTTCTTGTGATGGTGTAATATTCTGTGGTGTGTATGTATCACATCTTTTTTGATCCATTTGGCCACTGAAGGAGATTTAGACAGGTTCCATGTCTTAACTATTGTAAATAATGCTGCTGTAAATTTTGTAAAATATATGTTTTTTTGTTGTTGTTGTTGATAGTTTCATATTCTGTGGATCTGTGCCTAACAGTGGGATTGCCAGGTTGTATGGTATTTCTACATTTAATTTTTTTCTTACATTATTGTTCATTTTTGCATAGTATTTGGCTTTTCCCCTTAGGTGTAGTCCCTTAGTTCTCCCACCTGTTAACTATCATCATAGTCCACCATGGTTCCTTGTGCTCTTCCCTGCCCTGTTTTGACCTCTTCCCTCCATTTCCCTTGCTCTATGACTCAGATCAATGGTCAGCTTGCACGTTTATCTTTTTCTTCACATTTTCTTTGGTTTCACTACATTCCACATGAAACCATCTGATATTTATCTGTTTCCTTCTGACTTATTTTCTTAGCATAATCCCTTCCAGTTCCATCCATGTTGCCACAAATGGCTGATAATCATTTTTTTTCCCTCGGATGTTATCAGCTTTGTCTTTGCCTAACCATAAGCATGAATGTATGTGTCTGGCAGAGAGAAGCGTGGTGTCTTCATTCTGTGACTATCTTTCCAGACTCCTCTCCTTTACACACTGTTTTTTTCTGCTGGGATACAGTGTCTATTTTTTTAAATGATTTTATTTATTTTTGCATAGAAGAACTGGGGTGTAGGTCGGAGGGCGGAAATTGAGAGAATTTGCCAGAGACAGTATGTAGCAGAATAGGCAGATCTACTGAAATACACTGCTAAGGGGAGCAGCAGGCGAGACAGGAGAGGTCTTCAATGCCATGTGTAGGTTAGTTCCCTGGCCGGGCATGGAACTCAGGCCCTAGTGATGATAGCGCTGATACTTAACCCCTACACCACCAGGAAAATCCCTATGGTGTCTCATTTCTAATTAAGTTTATTAATTAATTCTTATTTATCAATAGATCTCTGTCCAATCATCTTTCACTATGGAGGACATTTCAGACTTCCAGTTTAGTTCTTAATCTTTTCCTTCCCCGCCCTCTCCACCTTAGGAAATTGGTATAATAATTTGATTGTGGTCTGTCTCTCAAACCAAGCTAAAATTCCCATGAAGGAAAACCTCTTTACTTCTTCACTGTATTCCAGAATCTGCCGTAGAGTATGGCAAATACTAAATTCTCTGTATTTGTCAAATTGATGATGGAAATAATATAGTAATTGTTCAAAAATTCTTACCTAGTTCCTAAGTTGTCTCATGCAATGTTCTAGGTAGTAGGAATTTTGCTTTGAGTCAGAAAGACTGGCCCTAGCCTTTATGCGATTCCAGTGAAACAGAGAAAAATAGTAGAAATAGTTTCAGGTAATGATACATACTGTGGAGGAAAACAAATCAGTAATGTAAGAAAAATAGGATGATGGGGTGAGTATTTTTGATAGAGTTGACTTAAAAAGAAATATTTCATTAGGTATCCAAAGGAAGCTATATATCAGGAAAAGGGGGGAATGCATGGAGCCCCCTAGATTAACAGGTAAAAACTAATGGGGAGTGGCCTGGAGGGACCAGGGAGAGCCAGAGTGAAAGAAGACAAGGTCAGACCGCAGTGATTTCCTCCTGATTGATGGTTTTAAAGCATGCAAAGAACTTTGGATTTTTTTTTTTTTTAAGTGTTGATGAGTTTTGAGTAATGGCACCTAGTGTTAATTATTTTTTTTAAAGTGTATACGTGGACACTGTGTTTTTGGGTGGAAAGAGTGAAAGTAAATGAAGTCAAGGCTATGACAGTGTAGACTAGACCTTAGACTGTATGACTTACACTGGAGGTTTTGCAAAAGTGTAAAACTGTGCAGAAGCTAGATCTTTTGTGAAGGTGGAACCCACAGGAATCACTGAATTAATGAAAGAGTAACCTATCTTCCAGGGATCTGATGTCTCACAGCTCTCTCTTTTCTCCTTCTGATGTAATTTCTTCTGCTTTTCTGTTCATTCCAACTTTTCACTCATTATTCTGCAGTCCCCTAGAACTCTCGCCAAATATACAGGTCCCCTGTAGCTTTTTATATGCATCTGGTGCTTAATGACAAAATTAAAGTCACTGGAGTTGAGAATGAATCACCATTTGCAGGGGTCTAAGTTCTTTAAATCGGCAATTCTTTGCTTTGTTGTAATAAAGAAATCCTCCTTGGGTACTTCTGTTAATATGTATGATTGTATTCTTCCTTCCCACCCATATGAGATTAAATGCAATCTCTTCCCCAATACACAAGTGCCTATGCAGCTTTCCAGGTGAATTAATTGTTTGTTTCATTTGATTTTCTCCAAATGAGCTCCAGTTTATTTCTCCTCAATTTGTCTTTGGCAGATTTATTTTTAAAGTCTTTTATTTCAGTTTCTAAAGTATTTATCCTCTGGGTCTATTCTCTTTCCTGTACGATGGGAGACTAATTATTCTTCTCCTAATGAATGTTCTAAATGTATCCCATATGGTGGCATATGTGTGTTCAGACCAAAGATGCTTTGGGATAAAATAAGTAAATTCCTCTCGCGAGGTTTCCTCACAAACTTTGCTTTGTAACAGTGATAAGTTCAAAGATTCATAGACTCTGGGTTGCTATAGAGATCATCTTCTTCCCCCCACCTTCCTCATTTTGCAGAAGGAACAGAAGCCTAGGAACTACTTAGCTGGATTATGAAAGAGCTGAAGGCTGGGAATCAAGAAACTTGAGCTCTATTCCCAACTCTGCCACTGACATTTTAAAAGTCTTTCATATCACAGTCACTTGATTTCCAGATGAGAAAACTGGTTCAAAGAGATGAGGGGAATGTGAATTCCTAAGGGTCATCTTGCCTGGCCCTCCCATTCTAAGTCGGCTTCTTTTCTTCAAAGTAATTATCTGTTTGTAAATAATATAAATCAAGTAATTACAGTAATGAATTCTGAATCCCTTTTGCAGTATGAGCTCAAACAGTATGAATGCTCTTGTTCACCTTGCCTTATAGATAGTAGGCACTAAATAAATACTTGCTGAATGAATCAATCGATGATACACTATTATGAAGTTACCTATTACATGTATAGCAGTACAGCAAGTACTTTATGTAAATTAGTATAACCTTCCCAAGAAGCTGCTGATATTTGGAAATAATGCCTTTGAAAAATGAGAAAGAGTCTCAGAAAGTTTAAATAATCTGTGACCACAACCAATGTGCTGAACTAAAATAAAACATCTGATTTCAAAACCCAAGTTCTTTCTACATCAAAGCCATAGTCCCAGTCTTTGCTGTGTGCCTACCACTGTTGCTAACAGCCTTACATGTTTTATGCCATTAATTTTTCAAAATGCCCTTCTCTGCAAAGCACAGTTTTATTCCATCAAGAAACCAAAACTTGAGATTTCTAAGAATGTCATGGTCAGAGAGCAAGAAAGTGAATCAGGATTTTTTTTTAATTTTATTTTTATTAATTATTTTTCTTACATCATTGTAGTTCCCATATTTCTCCTGCCACCTTATCATCCGTGAACAATCACCACATTCCCTGGTGTTCATCCCTCCCTCGTTTTGCCCCCTCCAACCCCCTCCTTTGCTGTATTCACCAGTTTTATGGTCAGTTTCAGTTTTCTAGTTTTGACTTTTCCTTGACCTTTTGTTTCGTTTCTCTATATTCCACGTATAAGTGAGAACTTCCAGTATTTATTTTTTACCTTCTGACTAATTTTGGCTAGTATAATCCCTTCCAGTTCCATCCATGATGGAGCAGATGGCATGAGCTTGTCATTTTTGATCACTGAGTAATATTCCATATATATATATATATATATATACCCCACAACTTTTGGATCCATTCATCTATTTTGGGGCACTTCAGTTGGTTCCATAGTTTGGCCATTGTAATTAGGGTTTTAATAAACATAGGAGTGCATGTTCCCTTTCAGATTAGTATTTTGAATCTAGATTTGTGTGGTGATATTCCACAATCCAAATTAGGGTGTCATATATCCCCATAGATTAAAAAGCCACCTTGCCGAAGAAAATTTCCATTATATAATTTTTAGAAATCAGAATTTTCCACAGTACTCCCAAGTTACTGATTTCTTTTTTTATTATTTAAATTTTATTTTTATATTCCCCTTACAATTGCAACACCCTTATTTTGACCCCAAGCCCTCAATTCCCTGCCTGATTTCTTTTTTTTTTTTAAGATTTATTTATTTATGCATACAGTAACTAGGGTACAGGCCAAAGGTGTGGTGGGTGAGAGGAATCACCAGAGACAGAGTGGGGAACAGAACAGGCAGGTTGAGTGAAATATACTGCCGAGGGAAGAAGCGGGTGAGACAGGAGAGGTCTGCTGCGCCATGTGGGTAGCTCCCTGGCTGAGGATCAAACTCATGCTACAGTGGCTATGGATAGCTTTATAGTGCTGCATCTTAACCCCTTTCACTGCCAGGGAGGCCCAAGTTACTGATTTCTTTCACAAGGGGCATTTTACTTAACTTGATGCCCATGCTACTTGGTACAGAAGAGAAGCAGAATTATAGATGAACCCATGATGTTTTGGGGGAAAAATCAAGAAATAAATTATAAATGCTGAATAAATGGTGCTATATCAAGTTTTATTTGCTTTGACAGATATTTTGTCATTCTTGGAGACCTCTCTACCTCTTGCTGTCGGGGATGCTGAAGGGGAATTATTTTCTGAAGAGCAGCACTAACCACACCCCTAATCAGCGCAAAACTGAAGGACGATCCATTCTTCATTTCTTACCAAGTAAGTTATAAACTCTTTGAAGTTATTTTAAATTCTAGGTACAAATAGTTTTCATAGTCACCTTTTTCCAACTTACCCTACACCACTTTTTCAGACACATATCTGATTGAGATTCCAGCAATGTGATGTGCCTTCTGTGATCTTTGAGATTTCCTTTCCTGTCTATCCAACCTCTTCTTCCTTCACTTTACCAGGTATCAGCTTTTCCTACTCATCCTGGAAATAACTATTGAATATTACTTATATCCTATATGAATGGGATAGTTAGATAACATATATGCAAATTTGGAGACATATTTCTACAAAATATGGATCTGTAATTTATCTTAAATACAAATTTAATTTGTGGCACCTATTTTATTTGCTAAATCTGGCAGTCTTATACATAAGGGATCCTTTACCCCGCAGATGTTGTGATCTCATAGCCCTGTGCACATAAAATCTACACAGGTGGTATTTTGTTTTTTAGTTTGTATAAGTAGCTTCCTAGCATGATCATGAGTTATCCGGGTAAAGATTTGAGTTGTATCCTTTTACATAAGAAATTATAATCACTGTTCATTCCTTTTCCCTTAACTATTTACTAATGACACGTATCAATGCATTTTGTTGTGGAACTAGAGAGAGGGAGAAGATAAGGTAGGAGATAGCATTTTTAATTCCAGAAATACCAGAGTCTCTTGTTCAGTGTCCACCATAATACTCCATTCTTAATAAAATCACATAACTTTCCTTGCTGCAAATTATGTGATTATGTTATTTTTAGGTAACCTTGAATTTAATGAATAATTTTTACTTTGTCATGTAAGTTTTTATGTAATTGCTGCACAGTGGATATACATATGCAATATTTAAATTGCCCATAAATTGGTTATAATATGTTTCCTACAAAAGAAAGAGGAAACAGAAGAGAAAGGAGTATCATTTATTGTGAGATTGCTATGTGCCAGGCTCTGGTGTAATCATTTTTATGTTATTTATCTTCATATCAAAGCCATAAGGATTATATAATAACCTCCTCATTGTAGATCAAGCAAATGAATGTTTGAGAACTTAAGTAATTTGCCCAAGGACCATGTACATTAAGCATTGAAGTAAAATTTAAAACTACTACTACCTATAAAATCATATAATAATTCATATGCATAAAGAGCTCATTATAAACTTAAAATGATTCATTTGCTTTGTATCAAATCTACCATATTTAAATGGAAAAACATTTCATAAAAAAGATCAATAGCTATTTTCCCATCAACAAGAATTACAAACTGTTAATGTATTTGCATGTATACTTTCTGTGGTTTCATTGATGCAAATGATACTTTAAGAAAAAAAAACTGTTCTTATTTTTATAAAATGAAAAATATGTATTACAAAAATTCAAGCAATGTAGGAAACTGTAAGAAAGAAAGTTTAAGCAATCACATCAAATCCTAATATTAAACACTGAGTCCCTATAATTCTAAGCTGCTTTCTTGTATATATAAAAGTGAAAAGAAGAGAGGGCAGAGGGAAAGATAAGGGAAGGAAGAAAGATAGTAAGGATAAGAGAAATAATAGGAGAGATTTAAGTATAGTCTCACAAAAAATGAAATCATGCTTAGTACTCTTAAAAATTGGTTAAATTGAATATTATTTCACTACTACATACTTAAAATGAACTGGAATAAATCTGAAAGATTGGGAAAATCAAATTGTTTCTTCCCTATAAGTGGTATTATTTACTGAAATTCCTCTTATGCTAACATAAGTGAGACATTATGAAAGAAACATTGAATGTTGCACTTATTTTTTTAGTTTATGATTTTAGCTCATATAATAACTACTTTGAAAGATGAAGATGCAAGAGCTCTTTCCTCTACCAACTCACCAAAAATGTTTGCTTGTGTGTGTATGTTTATAAATCTGAAAAATATAAAAATAACACTGTACCTTTTATATCCTTAATTGGGATCATTTTTATTTGGTTCAGTATTGTTATACTTATGACTTCCGGTTTGCCACTGGTTTTTTTTTTTTTTTTGTCACAGATTGTGTCATCCTGGTTTGTTGATTTTGATTCTCCTCTTAATTACTGGGACTTCATCAAGCAAAGTTTCAAAGAAGATGTCGTAGATTCTCTGCTGATTCTGTTTTTTAATGATTGAGGTCTCTGCTTGTCTTTATAGGTTAGTGGCATTTTAACTAAATGTGATATTCTCAAATGCCACTCCCTTATTTTCTGTTGATCTGCTGCTCATTATCTTACTAGACGTGAGTACAGCTATGAAGCAGGTTGAGGCCAGTGTATTTTTTTCCCCTATGTAGCTGATGTGTTTTGTCTACCTAGATGATGCTTGGTGCATTCTTTCTTTTATTCTCAAATTAGGGAGTATTAATCAGGCATATATATTCATCCTCAAAATTTGGTAGCTGGAACACTGTATGTTCTTTGATTATATATTCAATAAGTCTTTCAATAAGCAATTTTGCATTATATGATTAAGCATATTCTTTGCTCTGTATGTGGGTTTTTACTTCAAGAAATTTGATTCTGTTATTCTTCTGTTCTTATTACCGTGATCCCAGTGTCAGTGATGCAGGGTAAGAGTCTATATTCTGTTCTTTGCGTACTTTAAAGTTTATTTCCTTTCATTGATTTACCATTGGCTTATAAACATTTTGAATTTGATTAGTTACATAATGAAAACATTCGATCTCTCATGTACTGCTTTCAACCTACAACTTCTCTTTTTGTTTAATTTGATTGTTGTTACAGTTTGTTGAGTTCAAGCTCCTAAAAAGTTATTCTGTGATGTGAGGCAATTTTAAGGAATTGTAAGAAAAATCTTATTCTTAATTAGATAGCACATTCCTCCCCCTCCTCTCCATAATTTGTTTTAAGTTCCTGTTGTAGATTTGTTTATTTTCTCCTTAATTACTTTGGAGTGACTCTTTAGAAATTTCATTTGTTTTGATAGAACAACAAAAAAAAAAGAGTCAAGTGACCTGCACTGTACCTGAGAACAGTTTTTTTTTTTTTTTTTTCTGTTTTGAGCATTTCTTGAAGGTTTTCTTGTGTTTTATTATTGCCTCATTTCCAAAAGTAAATGAATGGGGTGATAGTAGCGACAGCGTATTGGAGGAACAAAAGCCATCTATAGACTGTGCTAAAATGCACACATTCTGTTCTCTTGTGAGAGTGTTTATGGCACAAGATTATTTGTCAACTAAATCAACCTTAATATACAAGGTTAATGATTTTTTTTTTGAAGATTTATCTATGCATACAAGAACCAGGAGTCAGGCCAGATGTGCGGGAGGGTGAGAGGACTCACCAGAGACAGAGTGGGGAACAGAATAGGCAGACTGACTGAGCTACAATGCTGAGGGGAGCAGCGGGTGAGTCAGGAGAGGTCTGCTGTGCCATGTGGGTCACCTCCCTGGCTGGGGATTGAACTCGTGCTGCAGTGGCTGTGGATAGCTTCACATGTCATGTTTTAACCCCTTGCACCACCAGGGAGGCCCCTACATAGTTAAGAATTTATAATTCCCATTTGGGTTGTTTCCTCCTTCACTGTCTTCACGTTCCTCATATCACACATCTTGCCTCAGTGATGCTTCCCATGACTACTCAGTGGAGGGGAAATAAAGTATGACTCCCTAATAACCTAATAATGAGGGAAGAATTACAGAATACTGTCACTTAGAGATTTGTTGTCTTACAGATGATATCTGTACTCTCCACTTCACTCCACATTCTTTTCTTTCTTTGAGTGTATTATATGAGATTCATGTTCTCTCTCTCTTTCTGTCTCTCACTGATGGCCTTTATCCCAAGTGGGTGATAATGATACCGATGATGTTCTAAGATAATGGGTGAGAAAATTAGGAAGTGTTAATGTTTATTTAAATCTGAATTTTAAAACATGTCATTGTATCTCTATATTCAAGATGATAATTCAGGTGGCCCACTTCTTCACTCCTCATTCATCCATTTAATTGGCTACCTAATGTATTATGTTGTTAATACGTAATTGTTCATCTGTTGCCCTTGTCCTTAAGAGTAGAGTTTGTGCCTTGTCTTCCTTTTTTTTCATACCCAACATCTAGCCCACTGCACACTATATGTAAAATAAATAAATAGATGAATGGACTTAACATAGTACCTCATGTTCAATATAAAGACTTTCTAATAGGTGAGGTCCTCTAAAAATATTATAGAGGTTTTTCAAGGTAAAGCTACTGTAAAAATGTTCAAACTAGTCCCTTATTTAGGTTTTCTAAATCCCTGTTGTGAGTGAGACCATCTGGTATTTTTCTTTTTCTTTCTGGCTTGTTTTGCTGACCATGATCCCTTCCAGCTCCATCCATGTTGCTGCAAATTGCATGAGTTTATCTTTTTTGATTGCGGAGTAATATTCCATTGTGTTATGTACCACATCTTGATACAGGAAAAAAACTAATTATAATAAAGTAAAAATCAAAATCAACAAGCAACAATAAACCAGAGACACACTATGGGGGGCAGGGGGAGAAGGGAGTCAGATCAAAACAAGGGTGGTGGGAATTGTATGGGGACTATAACCAAGATGAAAATGCATACATTGTGCAAAAATGAAAAATGATGTAAAAAATATATAAAATTTAAAAAAATTAAAAATGTTCAAACTAGTGACTGATCAGCTAAAAGTGCTATATGGGAAAACGATTTTCTTTCTTTCATTATTTCACAGAATACCTACCTCCATCAATTACACCCATTTGTCTCTTATTCCTATTCCCCACACGTTCATTTCTGAAAATCTCATTTTGGTGTTCTATATATACTATAGAACTGGGTACAGTCAGAAGTGCGAGAGGGTGAGAGAATTCACCAGGGCCAGAGCGGGGAGCAGAACAGACAGACTGATGAAATACACTGCTGAGGGGAGCAGCGGGCGTGGCAGGAGAGGTCTGCTGCACCATGTGGGACCCTCGCCAGGTGGCCGGGTTTCAGACTGGTGCTGCAGAGGCTGCAGGCAGCTTTGCAGCCCAGCGCTCAACCACTGCGCCACTGGGGAGGCCCTGTATATACTATTTTATTTCTATTTTGTTTTGTCCATTCATCCACTGATCCCTTATGGTATGTGTAGTTATGAAATCATACAATATTTGGCTTTATCTTTCTGAATAATTTCACTTCATATAATCCCCTGGAGTTCCTTCCATTTTGCTGCAAATGGGAAAATACCTCCTTCCTTATGGCTGAATAGTATTTCATTCATAGATATATATTCATATATATTCATAATTATATATGTATATATGAAATACTATTCAGACACACACACACACACACATGTATTCTTTATCCAATCATCTATCAGTGGTCACTTAGGTAATTTCATTATCTTAGCTATTTCAAATAATGCTGCAGTAAACATTGTGGTGCATGTAACCCCTCCAGTTTATGATTTCTTTCCTTTGGATTTAGATGCCCAGAAGTGGGATTTGCTGGATCATACAGTAATTTTATTTTTAGTGTTTTGAGCAGGTCCATACTGTTTTCCAAACTGGCTACACTGATTTACATTCCTACTAACAGTGTATATAAGTGCTTCTCTTTTTCCACATCCTTGCCAATACTTATTATTACCAGTCTTTTTGATGTAAGCCATTCTCACAGATGTGACAATATTTCATCATTTCTTTGATTTGTATTTCCCTAATAAGAAGCAATAGATATTTTTTATGACTGTTGGCTAATTTTACATCCTGTTTGGATAAGTGTCCACTAAGATCTTCTTCCACTTTTAAATTGGATTTTGTTATTATTGTTAAACTGGTGGAAGAAGATTTTTAACATTAAGTTGAAATTGGACATCATGTCCTCCAGCTAGGATTTTTCTCACAAGCACTTTCTTAAAGATTTCCCAAATAGAGCTCTACAGAATTTCCAGGTAGAAATCTTTAGGAAAAGAAGAAAGACTTTTTTTAAAAAAATATTCTAGAAACTTCTAATTCAAGGTGGGAATTAATTTATAAGAACTTTTTCTCTGTTAAACTTTTCACACACCATCTCTTTCTTTCTGGACATTTTCCCCAGTGACTTGTAATATAAGGATAACAGCACCAACAACAATAGTACCACCAACAGAGCAATAAAAAAGTAAATATGCCATCTTTCAAATAAACCTTTATGCCATTCCACTGTTGAATCTGAAACTCTGGCATTGTCTGTGACTATTTGGAAGGAAATGTGAGAGTTCACTCAGATGCATTTTAAGCTTATGATTATTCACTGTTCAAACTTGGATGCATCCCTGGTGGTCTCTTCAATAACTATGTCCTCTACCTGACTTTCAGTCTTTGACTGCAAACAATCACAGGAGTGCAGACCATTATAAAGTAAAATCACTTTGGCAAAAAGGTTTGTTTCCCCTTCTTCTGTTGTCTTGCAATACTACTCATTTCAAATGCCTAATTTAAACTTGAAAGAAAATTCCTGATGTCCTTGCTTTAAATTTCTAGAGAGCCAATGGTGTACCAGGTCCTGAGGTAATAATCTATTCATAGATTTATAGAAACAGTGAATAACTTAAGTAGGATAAACTTACTCTAGGTCAGGAGCTTTTTAAAAATTTCTGAGAACTATGACAATATAAATAAATGTGAATAAACCTCTTGACTTTGTCATGTGACTAACAACTAAGCATTTATCAAGAATAATAAGTATTAGTATACCATGTCTGAAGTGTGGCTGATGATACCACATGATAATCACTTTCTGTTTTCATGAAAAGGAAATTTAATGTTCAGAGTAGGCATCACACCAAATTAATAAAACAGAGCTAGAATTTGAATTATGCGCTTTCTGATCCTACCGCCAATATGAAACAATGTGAATTCCTGTAGTTAGGCTGAACTGGCTACAAGATTTAGAGAAAGAAAATGTCTAACATTTAAGTAAAGGCAAGAACAAGTTAAAGTTTCAAGAGAAATTTCATGTCCAGAGTGGACTGCTTTGAGAAAGCAGTGTGTAAGGGGAAAAAAAGCGATTAAGAGAGGTAAGAAAAAGGATTTCCCATATTTTTTTTCAGCTTTTTGAGGTATGTTTGATTGTGTAAATTTAAGCTATGTAATGTGATGCTTTGACATGTATATATAAAGTAGTATGATGACTAAAATAACATTACTTAATACCTTGTCATCTCATAATTTGTGTGTGTGTGTGTGAGGGGGTGATAACATTCAAAATCAACTTTCTTAGCAACTTTGATGTATGCAACATTGTTAATGATCATCACCCTATTGTACATAAGATCCCAAACAGTCATCTTATAACTGGAGATTTATACCCTTTGACCCACATCTCTGAATTTGCACTGCTCCTCAACCCCCAGCAACCACCATTCAATTCTGTTTTTAT